TTTGGGACCATAAAATTTCCTGGAAGTTGCTAGTCTTAGAAAACACTACAGTTATTTTTTCCTTTGTTATCATATCTCTTTCAGTTTAAATTTTAGATGTGAAAACTAGAAACAGATTGTGTCCAGCCCAAAGAATATCTATAATATCAAATGATTGTTTTCTCAAAGACCTCAGCCAACATTTTTACGAAAGTACTTTCTAAAGAGCCTTTAGGTTGAAGAAAAAACTTAGAGGTTAAGAGCATGTGTGCGCTGTTGCAGAAGACCTGAGTTTGGTTCCTAGCACCCGCATCAGGAAGCTTGCAACAACCTATAACTCCAATTGCAGAGGATCCAATGTACATGTGTGCATACACACACAAATTCACGTATTTTTGCACAAATATAAAGTAAATCTTTTAAAAAATCTAATACATGCTATCATATTAATCAGAGAAATAAAAGTCTGTTTTAGAAATGATCTTCTTTTTATTAATTTTATTCTGGACAATTGCAGAAAAGAAAATTTTTCTTTGGGGACAGAGAAATGGTTCAACATTGAAGTGCCAGTGGTGTAAGATGGTCTGTGACCTTGACATTCCATTCATTCATACAGAATGTCAGAGGACCTTGGCTAGTCATACCAATCTTGAAAAGTGAAGTTGGAAGACTTGCATGTCTTAATTTCAAAATTCACTACAAAGATATAATACTCAAACAGTATGGTACTGGCATAGGGTATACATATAGATAAGTAGAATAAGATTGAGAATATGGAAAAGAACCTTTCTAAGTGTTGTCAATTATTTTTGAAAAGGGTGTTAAGCTTTGTACAAGGAGATAAGAATGGATCAATTTGCATTTACATGCTGACCTCTAGTTGAACAAGCACCATTTGTTGAAAATGCTGTCCTTTTTCCACTGGACGGATTTAGCTCAAAGATAAACTGACCATAGGTGTGTGGGTTCATTTCTGAGTCTTCAATTCTATTCCATTGATCTTCCTGCCTGTCTCTGTACCAATACCATGCAGTTTTTTTTATCACTATTGTGCTGTAGTACAGCTTGAGGTCAGGGATGGTGATTCCCCCAGAAGTTCTTTTATTGTTGAGAATAGTTCTCAATATCCTGTTTTTTTTTTTTTTGTTATTCCAAATGAATTTACAAATTGCTCTTTCTATCTCTATGACGAATTGAGATGGAATTTTGATGGGATTGCATTGAATCTGTAGATTGATTTTGGCAAGGTGGCCATTTTTACTATATTAATCCTGCCAATCCATGAGCATGGGAGATCTTTCCATCTTCTGAGATCTTCTTCGATTTCTTTCTTCAGAGACTTGAAGTTCTTGTCATACAGGTCTTTCACTTGCTTGGTTAGATTCACACCAAGGTCTTTTATATTATTTGTGACTATTGTGAAGGGTGTCATTTTCCTAATTTCTTTCTGAGCCTGTTTATCCTTCGAGTAGAAGAAGGCTACTGATTTGTTTGAGTTGATTTTTATATCCAGCTACTTTGCTGAAGCTGTTTATCAGGTTTAGGAGTTCTCTGGTTGGAAGTTTTCGGGTCACTTAAGTATCCTATCATATTATATGTAAATAGTGAAATTTTGACTTCTTCCTTTCCTATTTGTATCCCTTTAACTTCCTTTTGTTGTCTAATTGCTCTGGCTAGGACTTCCAGTATTATATTGAATAGGTAGGGAGAGAGTGGGCAGCCTTGTCTAGTCCCTGATTTTAGTGGAATTGCCTCAAGTTTCTGTCCATTTAGTTTGATGTTGGCTACTGGCTTGCTGTATATTGCTTTTACTATGTTTAGGTATGGGCCTTGAATTTCTGATCTTTCCAAGACTTTTACCATGAAGGGATAATGGCTCCAGCTGTATATGTAGGAGAGGATGGCCTTGTTGGGCATAGGTAGGAAAGGAAGTCCTTGGTCCCGTGAAGGCTGGATGCCCCAGTGTGGGGTAATTTGAGAGCAGGGAGGTGGGAGTGGGTGGGTGGGAGCACACCCTCATAGAAGCAAGAGGAAGGGAGATGGGATAGGGGGTTCCTGGGTGTTGAGGGAGAAATAGGGAAAGGTAATCTGAAATGTAAATAAAAAATCCAATTAAAAATATATTAAAAAAAAGAAAAAGGAAAGGCTGTTAAGACCATACAATAGTGAAAAGATCATGTGTTCAATAAATGGTGTAGAGACAAATAAGTATCTTCATGTAAAACATTGAAGTTGAACCCAAAATTCACACCATATTCTAAAGTGAGTTTCAGAACAACACACAAGAAAGAAATAATTCAGGGAAACTAAGCAAATTGATGATTTCTGGGGGTTAGAGATGGTGCTAGAAATAACTGCTTATGAGTACAAGGTTTTATTTTTAATTGCTGAAGATATTTTGTGAATGGGTAGAGATAATTATTGGTCAATGCTGTGGATAGTTTAAATGCCACTAAATTGTCCATTCATGTCCATGGTGAGTACTACATTATATAGATTTTGTGTATTAAAAATTACATCATAGTCTTTCTGTGATCTCACAAATAATGGCTTTCTTGTCATAGTTACCTGTGACTTGTTGGAATCCAAATGATTTTGTAGCATTGCTCCATTGGGACATTTCTCTCTGTAGGTGGTTAATCTCAAAGCCAGATGGTCCCAAGTGGGTTTCTTCCTATAATAACAATTAAGGAATGTAGTTTTGATTTATCATTTTTATTTGATTAACTTTGGAAAACTTCTACCTTAGATGAATAATGTAGTATTTAAAATGTAGTCTGGTCTTTATTTAACCTGTTTAAAACAGCTTTGTCTTATTTAGGAATCCAGCAAAGTTTGATTTTATGAAAATGTATAGAAAGCAATGCAGTTGCATTTTCTTGGTGGCTCCTTCTATGCCACAGGTAGGAATGTTTGTTTTACTCAGCAGCCACTGTGAATGCTTGCTACCAGTAGAATTGGTGTTGGAAATAAGAAATTATATTTTCAGTTCAATCAAGCACATTTTGTGCAAAACTTAAACACATTGATTCCTTCATTGTCCACCTGCTTTGTGTTTTTGAAGGATGCATTCTGTCGGTGGAGCTGAGGGTGAGAAGAGCCTCTCACACAGAGATAGATGTGTGTCAGTCATGAAGCTTTTCTTCATGAATGAGGCCAATGGCTTCTGGCCTATAGCATGTATGTCTGTATTTATGGGTCCTTGTTTTTTCAGATGTGTGTATGTTAGTTGTCTTGTATACCTGATGCTTCTTATAACAAAAATACACCATCCAAGCTAAGAGTCTAGAGCTATGAAACAAACAATATTCAGATGGTCTGTACTGAATCAAGCTGTTAGCTTTTCACATTATTAGCATTGTGTCCCTGCAAACTGAACTGGAGAGTAAAGAAATGTCTTGCATATTTTGTGACTTCGAAGTTAGAGGTGATTTGGTAAACAACAAAATAGCTAAAAATAAATAGAATAAATCACAGAGGTAAGTGAATGTAATAGTTTGTGATAATTATTGCTTCTGAATTTTACAATATCAGATATTTGTTCTTTTCAGAAAAAAATACTTACTTTTATTTTATATGTGTGAGTGTCTTATTTTCCTGCATGTATGTCTGTGCACCACATATGTGCCTGGTACCTACAGGAGGAGATCCCTTAGACCTGGACCTGTAGATGGCTGTAAGCTGCCATGTTGGTACTGGAAACTGAACCCAGGGCTTCTGCAAGAGTTGGCAATGCTCTTAACCACTGAACCATCTCTCTAGCCCCTAGATTTTCTTTTTCTTCTGTTCATAAGATAATTTTTTTAAAATAAAAAAGTTAGAGAATTATAAATTAGGTTTTTAATAAATTATAAATTAGGAAAACCCCAAGGAAACAAAAGTGAAATAGGGATGAGTCTTCATTGTACTGGAAAATTAAAATTAAATTTGATTGCCTGTGAAAAGCAGCATAGTACACATGGATAGAATAATTTACTGAATTTCTCTGTGTCATCATCTGGGTAATTAGAACAATAGAATTTACATACTAAGATCACGGTAAGGTTTATATGTGCTAATGTAGCTGAAGCTCTTAGTGCAGAGTTAATGCAGTGAGGAAGGCATAAGTGTATGTTAAGGATAAAAGAAGGCTGGTAATAAATTGTAACTACTTTGGTTAGTGATTTGTTTGTGAGAGCCAAACCTGTTTATATTCATAGACGTTCATAGCCCCGCCGTCCTGTTAATGTAGCAAGGTGTGAATATCTGAAATTTCAAGCCCTTCTACTAGCATACTCACTTTGGGTCTATTTTGCTGCTAATTGGCATTTTAACCAAGAAGAACGCTTTGGTAAAGGAATATAGAACTCCAGAGCACTATATTTTTAAGTCCTTTCTCAGTAATTTTAAGACCTCATAAAGTATGGTGGTTTTGGTTTAAAAGACTTTGTTTTATTCATTCACCATAAATTACCATTTGCCCAGCATTGCCCGTGGGCAAAATGGGATGATGTAGATGCAAGGATCAGAGAGAAGGGTAAAGAAAAATAGTTGCTTAGCCCAGAACCGAAGAATATGGGGGGGGGGGGGGGGGGAGGGAAGGAGAGAGTTTGTGCACATGTGCCTGGGGCTTCAAAGGAAAAACATAAAAATTACCACATCCTTAGGTCATACATCCTGGAAGTTGAAGGCCACATGTTTATCAGTTAATTATTGTTGTCACACTACCTGAAGCTTAACTAGAGTGGGAGATGAAGAGATTTTAATGAATCATCTTGATTTGATGGCTGAGCTCACTGACCTGTGTTGGTATGCTCCAGTCTTAGCTTTAAGTGGGCAGAGCTCACATCAGTGCTCCAGCAGCACTTGAAGTTGCTGTAAATCACTGTGTACACCTTGATGATCTCACTTGGCTCTGTGTACCTGGGATATGTACAGAGCTCTGAGAATGAATTAGAAAGGATTAATGAGGCTAGATAAGTGGGCTTCCTACAATGTGCTTTCTTTTCTTGTGAAGTGATGGAATTATGCTTCTTTTACAGGACTGAATTGCAACTACAGAGGCAACAAGTGACTCCTTAAAGATGTCACAGGGCTGCAGAAAGTGAACGGAACCTTGGAGAAGATGATGAAGTAAGAAGAATGCTTCTCCCAAGGACAAGAAGTATGTCTATATTTTAACAAAATTCTTGCTGTATCCAGTACAAAGTCTGTAATGCCTGAGGTGTGATAGCCATTTTTAGTTTTTATTACTGTTACACATTTTTTTTTTCATAGTAGGGTGGTGGTAGTGGTGATAGTGTCATGGCTACAAGTCTCATGTAGTTTTGGTCTGCACCTCCAAATGCCAGCATACATGCTTACAAACCAGTTGGTTTTAATCTACACTTAACAATGCATGGAAAGTATCTTTCTTTAAACTTTTGTTTCTTTTTGTGTGCTATTTTCCCAAGTTTATGCGTATCTTTTTTTTGTAATTACATTTGCCAGTAATCACTTTTAGTTTATTCACAAATATTCCTAGTTGAAATATTAATCTTTCACTGGGCAGTAATTCACATTTTTAATCCCAGCACTTGGCAGGTAGAAACAGGCAGATCTCTGAGTTTGAGGCCAGCCTGATCTACAGAGTAAGATCCAGGACAACTGGGGCTATACATAGAAACCCTGTCTCTTGAGGCCCCAGGGAAGGAGGATCCCTAGGATTGGTGGTAGAGGGAGAACACCCTCTCACAGGTAATGGGGAGGGGGAATGGGATAAGGAATTGTGAGAGGGGGGACTGGGAGAGTGGCTACAGCTGGAAGATAAATAAATAAAATAATTAATTAAAAAAGAAACCCTGTCTTGACAAAACAATATTAGTAATAACAACAACAACAATAAAAACTTTATTGTGGTTGTTTCTTTGAGTCAGAGTTTTGCTTTAAAGCTCATGCTGCTCTTAAATGTATAATTCTCCTGCCTTAGCGTCTAAGATGTATTAAAGTTACAGATGTATCACCATAGCTGACTATCAGATCAACAATTGACAGATGGCATCTCATAAAACTGAAAAGCTTCTGAAAGGCAAAAGACACTGTCAGCAAGACAAAGCGGCAACCCACAGATTGGGAAAAGATCTTTACCAACCCTACATCTGATAGAGGGCTAATATCCAATATATATATGTAAAGAACTGAAGAAGTTAGACTCCAGAGAACCAAATAACCCTATTAAAAAGTGGGGTACAGAGCTAAACAGATAATTCTCCACTGAGGAATATTGAATGGCTGAGAAGCACTTACATGTTCAACATACTTAGTTATCAGAGAAATGCAAATCAAAATGACCCTGAGATTCCAGTTCACACCAGTCAGAATGGCTAAGATCAAAAAAGCAGATGACAGCAGATGCTGGTGAGGATGTGTAAAAAAGAGGAACACTCTTCCATTGCTGGTGGGATTGCAAGCTGATACGACCACTCTGGAAATCAGTCTGGTGATTCCTCAGAAAATTGGAAATAGTTCTACCTGAGGACCCAGCTATACCATTCCTGGGCATATACCCAAAAGATGCTCCAAGATATAACAAGGACACATACTCCACTATGTTCATAGCAGCCTTATTTATAATATCCAGAGACTAAAAACAACCCAGATGTCCCACAACAGAGGAATGGGTACAGAAAATGTGGTTCATTTACACAATGGAGTACTACTCAGCTATTAAAAACAATGACTTCACGAAATTTGCAGGCAAATGGATGGAACTAGAAAATATCATCCTGAGTGAGGTAACTCAGTCACAAAAGAACACACATGGTATGTACTCACTGATAAGTGGATATTAGCCAAGAAAAAGCTCAGAAGACCCACAGTACAACTCACAGACTATATGAAACCCAAGAAGAAGGAAGACCACACCAAAGTGTGAAGGCTACAGTTCTACTCAGAAGAGGGAAGAAAATAATCTCTGGAAGTAGAGGGAGAGAGGGATCTGGGAGGGAGAGAGGAGGGGGAGAGAAAAAGAGAGGCTGGTTCAGATAAGAGAGGAGATGGGGGAGAAGTACAGAGGGTCAGGAATTTGAAAGGAGGTGTGTAGCAGTACGAGGCGGGGGGTGGAACTAGGGGTAGTGACTAGAAAGTCTCAGATGCCAGGGAACCAAGTTTCCTAGGACCCAACAGAGAGAATATTAGCCGAAATACTCAACAAAGGCAAGATAGAACCTGTATACACCATATCCAGTGGATAGGCACAGCCCCTGATTAAGGGATGGGGCTACCCACCCACCTCAAAAATAATAAGCCAGAATTCCTCCTGTCAAAAGGAAATACAGGGACAAAGAATGGAGTAGAATGTGAAGAAAAGGCCACCCAGAGACTGCCCCACCTAAGGATCCATCCCATCTGCAGACGCCAAACCCAGAGACTAATCCTGACGCTAACAAGCGCTTGCTAACAGGAGCCTGATATAGCTGTCTCCTGAGAGGTTCTACCAGAGCCTGACCAATACAGATGTGGATGCACGTAGCCAACTATCAGACTGAGCACAGGGACCCCAATGGAGGAGTTAGGGCAAGGACTGAAGGAGCTGAAGGGGTTTGCAACCTCATAGGAAGAACATTATCAACCAACCAGACTCCCTAACGCTCCCAGGGACTAAACTACCAACTAAATAGTACACATAGTGGGACCCATGGCTCCAGCTGGATATGTAGCAGAGGATTGCCTTATCTGGAACCAATGGGAGGGGAGTCTCTTGGTCCTGTGGAGGCTTGATGCCCCAGCATAGGGGAATGCTAGAGAATGAGTGGGTAGGTGGTGGAGCACCCTCATAGAGGCAGCAGGGAGGGGAGATGGAATAGGGGGTTTGTGGAGGGGAAGAACGTTTGAAATGTAAATAAAAATAACCAATAAATAATAAAATTGAGTTTTGTGTATGAAAAAAGAAACAAACCCTAAAAAAATAAAAGGAAAACTTTTTTGTTGTGTTTTCATGGTAGGGTTTATCTGTGTAGCACTGGTTGTCCTAGAACTCACTTTGTAGACAAGGCTGGCCTCAAAGTGAGAGATCCACCTGCCTCTGCCTCCCAAGGGCTGGGATTTAAGGTGTGTACTACCATGCCCCCCTTTTTTAAAATATAAAAGGTTATTGTAAAGCAAACTGTTCCTTAGCCAGTTTCTAACTGAGGCAGCAGTCCTCCAGCTCCCAGTGAATCCTGTCAAAGTGGTGCTGTCTCGTAGAACTGGGCACAATGACATGTACCTGTAATAACCAGCACTCTGAGAGGAAGCAGGATTATTTCCAGTATGAGATTAGCCTTCACTACATAAATAGTACCATGTCTCAAAAACAAAAAGCAAAACAAAATGCAATTCCTTTCCTTTTTTAAGTTTCTTGAAATTCTTTTGTTTGCTTCTTTAGTTGTATAATTTTTACTTACTTTTGTAAAACTGAAAGAGATGCCTGTTGTCTTTCTTTCATTCGGTCTTTCTTTTTCTTTCATGTTTACCAGGTTGTCTTTGAACTCAGACATCTGCCTGCCTCTTTCTCCTGAGTTCTGGGATGAAAACTGGTTCTGTTTCTTTTTTAAGATTTATTTTTATTAGAGAGAGAGAATATGAATATTAAAGAATGAGTGTGTATATGTGTGGTACCCATGGAGGCCAGAAAAGGGTGTTGGATTTGGATCTCCATGGTGCTCGTGTTGTGAGCTGCCCATCATGGGTGCTGAGAACCAAGCTTAAGTCTTTTGCAGGAACAGTAGGCACCACACATCACTCTTAATTGCTGAGCCATCTCTCCATTCTCTGTTCTCTAGGTAATCTATAACAATTTTTTTGTGTAGTGACTTTAGAACATTTCCTAGACTCCCTAATACTTTAGAGCTTTTTCTCTTGCAAACAGATTATTGTTGGTTTTCACTTTGTTTTAACCTTTTTTGGAGATTTTATGTCTTATGTAGAAATTTATGCTTTCTGTTTTTAGGATAGCTATTGCATTTTCTTCTGTTTTCTGAATCTGTTTCTTTATTTTAATATTAGTTTTAATATTAGTTCCTCTTCAAAGAATATTTGTTTCTTTTTGCCCTTGAAATGAATTTTAAAGTGAACAATCTTTTGAATTCTGTGAATGCTAAAATGAATATTTGTATCTTTATTTATTTATGTTCATCAGAGCAGGAACAGGAATGCATCATTCCATCCATATTCAGAAACCCAGTTTCTCTTTTTCTTGGCATTTTATCTTTCTAATCGTTACTTGCATTTTCTCTTGTCTACCAATTATTTTTTGTTTTCCTTTATATCACACACACAGACACGTTCTCTAAAATGTATCAATTCTTCTATGCTTTAGTTGTTTCTTCTATTCACTTTTTATTTCTGATCCATTCAGTTAATAACCACTGAGGCCTTGTCTAGAATTGATAGGCAGTGAATGAAGACAGTGAGTGCAGGCAGGATATACAGAGGTAAGTGTAGCACTGCTGCATCAAGATGTAGTGGCATGTGATACAAACCTAACAACAATGGCAAATTGTTTTGTTTGTGGGTAAAGACATTCTGTAAGCTGAGAGTTGCCTAGCCAGCAAATTTAAATCTGCATCCTATAGGCTGTACCACAGAAGTCTTATGGGAGGGAAACTGTGCTGCATGAGTTCATTCTTAGAAAGGAGCCTCTGTGAAGCTGACAACAGGAAGGAAAGGCAACTAAACAACTGTGGCTGTTTCCAGGTGAGAAGTGAGGGCTCTTGGCGAAAGAGCCCACAGTGGGAATGGAGAATATAGTGTTCAAAGCAGAATCTACAAACACTGGTGTGTGCAGTGTGGGAATTAAAGGATGTCACCAAAGGCTTTTTATTTATTAGTCTTATACAAAGTAATGATAGAACTGTTGATCAACTGGGATTGAGGGAATGAGTGGAGGACAGAAACTAATTAGGAGAAAGGCAAAAGCGAATCTATTTTAGAACTTGATGATGTTTAGGGAAACACCTAGATGTTAAAATGGGCCAGCTAAGGCTGTTTTACTCGTTTTCACTGAGGAGAATGCAACTTCCAAACAATGGGTATAAGCCCCTCCAAGTAGAACATGTAGGCAGGAAATAAAACAGGCTCTTGGGAAAGGCCAAATTCTATGTACAGGAAATCAAAATATAATGAGCATTTTAATGTCCAGCACAC